TTAAATAATTTAGTAATCATTTCTTTTTATTAAAAATAAAAAGTTCTGAATTTTATAATCATATAAGATGTAAATGAAGTGAGATAAAAAATAAAAAATAATTATATTTCATTACCCAACCAAATAAAAAAAAAATGATAAGTCTCGTTGACAATTACTCGAATATCATCCAAGCATATGATTCTACTTCTACATAGTGCCCCCTACCCTAAATTTCCGCGCCTTGATCTTTCGGCGGCTGAAAACCTTGACGGAGACCTACTAACCCTTGAATTACATGTCTCTGCTTATGTAGTATGTACTTTTTGGTTATGTCCGAAATAGTTATAAGGTTAAAACCCCTTTTTTGTCCTTGAACTATTATACAGACCTTCAATTTGGTTCCTAAACTAAAAAAATCCCTGATTTGGTCCCTAATGTTTACCATTTTTACCCCGATTTGGTCCTTCCATTAAAAATTATGTGACGTGGCATGTTATTTCACAGTTAGCAAATGACATGTCATATAGTAATCCACGTGGAAGATAATATAGCCAAAAAGTGATGATGTGGAAAAAATAATAATATGAAAAATATTATGAAAAATAAAACTTAAAATTTTTTTCTTTTTTCTTTTTTCTTTCTCCTTCTCCTTTCCCTTTCTCTTTCTCTTTCCCCTTTCCCTTCTCTTTCCCCTCGGAACCCAGCAAGCCTGGGTTCCTTCGAACCCACCCAAGCACTGGGCTCCTTGCGAACCCAAGCGCTAAGTTCGTAAAGAACCGAACCCAGCACGCTTACCTGGATTGGGTTCCATGGAACCCAACCCCAGGTTTGACGGAACCCAGCTGGTTCACGCCGCTGGGTTCCTCCATGGAACCCAACCCTGGGTTCCGTCGAACCCAAGGGGAAAATATATATATATTTTTTTTTTCTGTGGTTTTAATTGTTTGATGATGATGAAAAAAGCAAGGTATATTTTTTCTATGGTTTTGGTTGTTTGATGATGATGAAGAAAGCAACGGAAGGAAGAGGAAGGAAAAAAAAGGGAGTTGTTGGGTTTGATTCAACTCAGGTGCTGGGTTTGTTTGCTGGAGGAAGAAGATTATGGCAAATTCGTAATTTTGGTGGGCCCCACTTTTGTTGGGTTGGGCAAGAACATAACATGTCACGTTGCCATGTCATTATTTATTTATTTATGCAACTGACGTGTCACAAATGTTTGACATGTCATTAAATTATCGTGAGATAACGGTGAAATTTTAACGGAAGGACCAAATCGGGGTAAAAATGGTAAACAGTAGGGATCAAATCAAGAATTTTTTTAGTTTAGGGACCAAATCAAGGATCCGTACAATAGTTCATGAACCAAAAACCAAAAAGGGGTTTTAACCTAGGTCTAATACTACTATTAGCTAATTCTAAACTTTGTCCTTAACCTTTTTATGGTTTTTTATTTCCATTCCTAAACTTTTATTCGTCTCCAAATTGGTCCCTAGCAAAGTGACTATTCCTCGGTTCATCTTCATTTCCATCATTCCTTTCTTCATTCCCTTATCCTTTTCCTCCAAGCTCTGCAACCGTGGAGATTTTCATCGTATAAAATCGATAATAAGAATTCCAGTTCTCAAATTTCTCTTCACTGCTACTACTTTCTTTGAACTTCCAGCGCTTCAAATTTTGCGTAATTTCTTCTCTCCCTGATCCATCTTCCTTTTCTCTGTAAGTCCCTTTTTTTCATCTCCTTATCTCTATGTGATTTATTTATACATGTGTGCTCGTCCCTTTATTGGATTTGATTTCTTTCTCCTGTTATTTTGTTTTTTGGGTCAAGATCTGTTTGCAACTAGGGTTCTTGACAGTTGAAAAGGGATGTAATTTGCGTTGAATTTTGTAAATTTCTGTTTTTGATGTCAATGTTTGGTTTCAAGGGCTTGATTTATTGTTAAAAGAGTGGTTCTTTATTGCTAGATCATAAAAATTAAGCTAATTTGTCTGCTTCTAAATTGCTGCTTGCCTCCAACCCATGGAGTTTGGTAGTGCTTCTTGGTGGAATGACTTAGTTTGTTCTCATTTTCATTATGGATTTCCAAATTTGAAACCTTTCTATATTTGTGTAATGGATTGAATTTTAGGATTCTGCCATTAACCTTCTATGCTGCCTTAGCTTGTTTGATTTGAGGGAAATGGAGGGGAGGGGAGGTGGCGCCATTTCAATCAATTAAATTAGGTCATCACGCCATGAAATAATTGCCAACGAAATAATTGATTGGTTATAATGACTTCCCCTCCCCTCAAACCTAACAAGCTTAAGTATATATTCATTTGGTAAGAAATGTAGTTCTATTTATGTTTCTTTTAATCAGACTTTACTTCTTCTTCTTCTTTTTTCCCTTTGTCCTTTGATTGAATGTTCTACTGAATATCATGTGGAATATATATCTTTTGGAAGTTGTTTTATTTCATTAGAGAAGAAAAAACTAAAAAATATCAAAGAAGTCGCAAATGATGCTAGTCCTAGTTAACAAATCGTTAACAATATGGTTAAAATGGTTTCTCTCCCTTGGTGAATTTAGTTGCCTTGTCTCATTCACTAAATTTACCTTCAGCTGAGGTTTCTGAGACTTGTGTGTTTGTTTCTATTTGCTTTATGTCCTTTATCTTGGTCTGTAATAGTATTTTCCTACTCATATTTCTTCTGACTTATGGTGTCAAGTAATGCTGCTAAGTTTTAACTTTATGGAAAACAAGCATTAAGTCTTTATAGCATTTTCATTTAGGTACTTCTCTTATAACCTCTAGTTCTATGTCTGAAGCAACTTCATGTTATTTTGAGATTGAAGGCTTTGAATCATTTGCAGGAATCGTTGGGGATACTTAATACTTCTGTCTTGCTGATATGGCAAATAGGCGATTCCGTTACAGCCCCTTAGCTGCTGATGAAGACGATGATTATGATGTGAATGGAGAAAGAAGATATGACCCTCGTTTTGATTATTCCCCAAAGGCCTTTGATAAAATCCCATGGAAATCTATTGCGCTGGCAGTCTTTTTGCTCTGCCTTGGATCACTGCTTCTGTTTCTTTCATTTTTCATCCTGACAGGTCATATGGGAGGAGAGCACTCACAGGCCTATGGCCTTATGGCCCTTGGAATTCTGACCTTCCTCCCAGGTATGTCACAATATTTTGCTTGCTTTGCTTTTCTGTGCTCAAATATTTCTGAAAACTAAAGCAGCTAATTGTTTCTGCTGATTTGCCTTTTCTCTTTGCCTCATCGTTTATTTTGCAATTTTAATGCATGCAACTATTACAAATATGAGGCCTTTCCTAGTCAATGGAGTGGAGCCTCATCATTTTGAGCTTAATGGGATGTCCCCCTTTATTATGTCGCAGCTTGGAAATAGAGAGATGTTTGCATTGCTATCAGATAGAGAATCCATTAATTAAAGCTGATTTTGTTAAATTTTCATTTCTATTGCTGCATTAAAAAGAACCATCCTGTGAAAAAAGTTGTAAAATAGTTTGTTAATCACACATTTTCTTTTCCTCACAGATGTGCTTTGAAGGTCCTCCACATAAGTCTAGACTTGGCTAACCTATTAGGCTATTACCATTTTACTGATCAAAAACGTGTTGCTGCAGGCTTTTATGAAACACGGATAGCATATTATGCATGGAGGGGTGTTGACGGATATCGTTTTTCTTCCATTCCAGACTACTAAGTCAAGTATCTGTCTCTCAAATGTGCTCGAACATGCTGCATCTGTCTAAAATCATAGTTTGAATTGCTATTTTGATCTAAATTTTCGATTTTTACAACTCTAGATAAACTATTGTTCTAGTTCCATGGTTTTAGCAACTCTAAGGTGTGTGTTTAGTTTAACAGCCAGACTAAAACATGGTTGTTTGCCTTCTTTTTTTTTCCCTATTTCTACTGTTGTAAGTCTCTCCTTATGTACCTAACTCTCATGTGTTATTTTTTTCCAAACGTAGTTCTTGAGAAATAAAAAATTCAAGTCTATTTTCTTGTAACCTCCAGAATATATAAACCAAAAATTGTTTTTAATTTGGACTATACTATACTGTAAAATTGAAATGGAAAGCAAGTCTATTAATATTAAAGGCTCCTCCTCCGTTCAAGGTTTTTTATTTTACAGGCGGATATGGTTTAGATTGTAAAATAATAAATTAATATATATATATATATATAAACAATTGTTTTAGGGTGAGGTGTCTATGAAATATAAGACTAGAGTCCTAATCAAAGTGACAAAATGAAGCAGGGAATCTACAGGAATAACATACAAAATGAATTTTTGCCAATTGAATCAACGCAACCCAATAGACTTAGGTAACCAAACAAATTGGCCCCGAATTTGTGGTGATAGGACCCATTGATACTCCTCAAACACACACGAAACTCTTTCTTGTACCAGAATTTTTGGAGAATATAATTTTAAATTTCGCATCCATGTTTGCATTAAAAAGAAAAAATAAAAAAAAAGAAAGGCTTAAGTAAACATCATGGGCCATGCTTACGTACCACATGATGGATACTTCTTTACAGTATGGTAAATGCCTTTCAATAAAAACATAATTAATATCCACAATATGGCCTCAAAAAAAATCCCCACTAATGAAAGTACACATTGGTGAGCCTTAGATAAGGAGGGAATGCCCATAAGTTATTCAATTTACCTTTTTTCAATTTTTGGTGTTAATTCAATATCGTATATAAGTGTTATGGTTATAATATTATATAAAATTATAAATTTATAATTATATTATGTTATTAAATGAATGTGATATATTATTAAATTAATAAATATATATAATATTATAAATAAATCTCTAAAAAAATTAATTATATAACATTCATCATGTTTTATAATTTAATAATATTACATGATATTTATAAGTATATCATTTTCAGGAATTTTATTTGATTAAACTTCAAGATGATCCTGCCGGCCAAAAAGAAAAAACTTCAAGATGATCCTGAGATATTTCATATGCTGCCTTATTTTGATGATAAAATAAAGACGTTTAAAGTCAAAATACAAGGCCATGTAAGCCATAATTACTCCATGGAAGAAAGACCTCTCTCTTGGCAGTTGTGTTAGTTTCTGGTGGGTGGAAAGGGATATAAAAAAAAGTAACCTAACAGGGAAAATGTGAGATGAAAAATCAATCACTCTCTTACCTTCTCTTTACAAAACTTCACTTATAAAGGTTGAAGTTGAACCAATCCCCTCTTCGCCAGAAATGGAAGAAGCCCTAATGGATTGTGCGGGGAAAATCATCAGAACATCAATCTACACCTTTCTGAAACACTTCCAATTCTTCTCCACAATCCCAATTCTTCTCTTGCTCCCTTTCTCAGCTTCATTTCTCCTCTCCCAATCCCTTTTCCATGTTTCAGGATTTCCTTTATCTTTGCAATTCGAATCCCTTTCCCTCTTTGCCTTTGCTTTTCCTCTCCCTTTTGCGGTCTCATCCTTTCTCATAGCAAAAATTTCTGTAATTCATGCTCTCAATCACCAAAACTCATCTTTTCCACCACCGTTTTCAAGCTTCATCTTGCTTTATAAACCCCTCCTGTTGACACACCTCTGCAGTTTAATCCTCATCATTGCCATCACTTCTGCCGGATTTTCTCTCCTTTTCTTCCCCATGAATCCTCTCGAAACAGCTTTTTGGCCTGCAGTATTTCTCCCAGAAGCTGGAGCTGTAGTCTTTTACTGCTTCCTAGTGAACGCGAGTTTTGTAAGCAACTTAGCCTTGGTTATAGCAGGAACGGATGGTTGTGCTGGCCATGCAGCAATCCATAAGGCCTTTTTGCTGAGGAAAGGTAAGGGATTGATTGCTCTCATGTTATTTCTCCCCACAAGTCTGGGTCTTGCTGCTATACAAGCCCTGTTTAGATACAGAGTCATAAGGGTTTACAGGTTCTCTGGAGGAATAAGTGCTTCTATGGCTTTTGAGGGTTTGTTCATTGCTTCTTTGTTTTCTTTCCTTATTGTTCTTGACACAATTGTCTGCTGCTTCTTCTACAAAAGTTGTGAATCAACTTCCACGGAAAGCCAGTTTGATGGGGTTTTCTATGATATTGAGCTTGTCCAAGAAACAAAGTGTACAGAGGAGCTTCCATGAATGAATTCTCCTCCCCCCCCCCCCCCCCCCCCCCTTTTTATGTTTACATTTGGAATTGAGCTATGTAATATAACTCAAAATTCCCCCTTACTTGTATCACGGTTCAAACATAAAACCTTCAACTTGAAATGTTTACGTTTTTACAAGTTAAAACTCCATCTTTTGAGGCTCCATGAATGAATTATTTAGGTCTTTAAACTGTAAACACAAAGGAACAGATTCTGCAAAGCAGAGGGGGTTCTTTCAATGTGGATCCAGAAATTGTAGGCTTAGCTGCCTCCAATGGAATAGGATTCAGGGCTTCATCTTTTGAACTTTTTATCTCCTCAAGTGGGTTTTCCTCTTTTGGGCCAAATAACATACCACCGCTAGCATGTCACCAAAAAATCAGTAGGCCTAACTTCTTCAGGCCTGTGTTGATGATGCACAGCCCAGTAAACAAGTTGAACCCTGCACACCCAAAGAAAGGCCTCACTTTATCTTCCATTTTGGGTGGAAGCTATCAAAAGACAACTAGAATTTAACAAAATCATGTGGAAACCAAACAAATCAATTATTAATTACTTTGTTTAACTCCATTATTGGAACTGTCCCATCACCACTTGAGCGTAGATCGAAAGTTTTTGCTGCGTAAAGTCCTCTTTTCCATGTGCCGGATACATTGCAATATTTCCCAAATATTTTAAATCATTCTCTCTTAAAAGGGCTTTTGGATTTTGGGATTTCTCTAGAATGCTCCATATTGTAAGCCAACGAAATACACTATTTACATGTGCCATACTGTGCATAAGCCGCGTTTTAGTGGTCCAAGCAAACTCCAAATTAAATATTAGCCTAAATCTTCTTTTTGCATTGCTTTACCGAGCTAATTATTGCTTGTACATGTTCATTTGTGGGAGTGCACGCACGTGCACTCTCACTCATTTTACAAAATCCATCCGTATATATGTATATGAGTTATTGTTTGTAAGTTTAAATTGTATTATATTGTAAAATCAAAATTTTAAGATGAAGGAAAAGGCATTATATTAAGTTTTTTCTCTTAATATAAAAATAATTATTTTACAATATGATACAATCTAAATTGTAACAGTTTTTCATATGTATATAAACTTTTTGTTATACTTTTTTCAATCTTTTTTTTTTTCCTTTACATCTAAGGGTTATATATAAGGTAACAATTCTACCATTTTGATCTACATAATGAGATGCAACTCAATTTTATTTCTTAGCCCTCCTATTGCATGTATACAATTTAAACTTAGATCCTTTTAGTTTTTATAGAAAGAAATTATCACTGAAATTATTAGTAAATAGAGTAATTTTTGAATAGAGTAATTTGCAAGTTATTTAAATCAAATTTGAGCATATAAATCTAAATACTCAACATATTAATAATTCTTATTACTATTAAATCATTTAGATTTCACACGTTTTTAAATTTAAATTTAAAATTTTTAATTTAAAATCTCACATTTTTAGTGGTTGAGAAAATTAAATGGTTCATTATCTCCAACTAGGGATGTTGAATTTTTAGATTTTTAGTCAGCAAGGAGTGTTGAATGTTGACCACCAAAAGTCATTGCAACCAATTCTCACTTTGATGTGCTTGAATTCATATATAGATCACTCCTATAGCTTTTTCCACCGTTTCACACCTTAAATAATATATTGGAGATCTGCCTAAATCAGCTTCAATCTTCAAAGTTGATTAAATGCCCAATGTCAAACAAATCAGGTGTACTTATTGAGAGATAATTAATTATTTTCACAAAGTAGTGGAGTATATTCTTTAACATGAAGTCATGAACCTATGCGAGAACATCATCATGGCATTGTACTTTATGAAACAAAGAAAATTAAGGAGTTTAATGGGCGGCCAAAAAGACAGTAAAAAAAAAAGGGGGAGTTTAATGAGTTAGCATTAACGACAAAATTTGCCCAGTGAAGATAATCATCATGTGGGTATAAGATGGATTCCGAATCATTAAAATTAGGTTAAACTTTTTTTTTGGTCCCTCAACTATTGTATGGACCATTAATTGAGTCTCTTAACTCAAAAAATCCCTAATTTGATCTCTATTGTTTACTATTCTAACCTTAATTTGGTCCCTACCATTAAAAATGCATGCCGTGTCCTATTAATTCACGATGACACTATGACATGTCAAAATACGTGGAAGACAACATGGCAAACATGGAAAAAAAAATAATATGGTAAAAAATATTAATATGACAAAAAAAAACTTTAAAAACTCCCCCTTTTTCTTTTTCCTTTTCTCCTTCCCTTTCTCTTTCCCTTGGGGTCTTGGGTTCCTAAGTTACTTGTGACACAGGCGTTGGGGTTCCTTCAAACCCGACGCTGCGTTTGAAGGAGCCCAACACCTGGTTCCTTCAAACCTGACGCTAGGCTTGGGTTCTATGAACTTGGTGCTGGGTTCCTTGGAACGCAGGTGTCGAGTTCGAAGGAACCCAAGCTTGGGTTTTTACGAACTTGGTGCTGGTTTCCTTCAAACCCGACGCTGGGTTTGAAAGAGCCCAACGCCTAGGTTCTTAGGAGCCCAACGCTGGGTTCCAGCCCAAAGGCAAAACT